TTTTCCACATTGTTGACATTTATAGGGCTTCTCTCCAGTATGAGTTTGCTCATGAGAGTGAAGGTGAGCAGACTGAGTGAAGGCTTTTCCACACCGCTTATACTCATAGGGCTTCTCTCCTGTATGAGTCCATTCGTGTATCTGGAGGTAAGATGAAGTACTGAAGGCTTTCCCACATTGTGGACATTCATAGGGTTTCTCTCTAGTATGTGTTCTCTGATGTATTCTAAGTAAACTGGGATAAGCAAAGTCTTTTCCACATACCTTACATTTGAAATGTGCTTTCCCAGTGTGCCTGATCATGTGACATCGAAGACTTGTGAATGAAACCAAAGTTTTACCTCCTTGTTTACATTTATGGAGTTTCTCTCCAGAATGAGTTCTTTCATGTTTTCTAAATAAAGTGGGGGAATGAAAGGCTTTCCCACATACCTCACATTGAAAAGGTTTACCTCCACTGTGTGTTCTCATGTGTCTTTGAACAGCTGGGAGAGAAGAAAAGGCTTCACCACATTGTTGACATTCATAGGGTTGGCACTCAGTATGAGAATCTTCATGTCTTTGAATGTCACTGGAACAACTGATGACTCTTCCACATACTGTACTTTCATATGGTCCATCTCCAGTTTGTGTTAACATTTGTGTGTGAACACTTTTGAGAGAAACCAGAGATTTTCTGTATTGTTTCAATTCACATGGCTTCTCTTCACACTCTTCATGTTTATAGCATTCATGCCCACAGTGAGATCTGAAGTGCCTGTGAAGGTATGAAGGACATATGCAGTCAGTTGCACACATAATGCCGTCATATGAATTCACTCTATTAAAATTTTTCTTTGTCTACTTAAGAACTGGAATCTCATTGAAAATTTCCCCATACTGTTCTTTGCCTTTGAAGTTTACCATAAGATTTCTTTAAAGAATGATCAGCACATGATTAATGCTTGATTCATTCATGATTTTATATTTATTTAAAGGTGCTAGGCTTACATTACTACCAACATCAGGTAAAGACTAGGTTTTCCAACTTGTTCAAATTGCCAGAAAATAAAGAGATTGAGAGGAAACAATGCTTTGCAACACAGCTTGCCTATGACTATTATCCAAACAGTGATATTTACATATGCAATTTCATAGTACTTTTGCATGTCAAGTACTTTGAAAAGACTGAGTATATTTTACAGTTAAATACACATGTATGTAAAATTTATTTCAGTTGTGAATAAACTTTATTGATTTAAATGTGGTGCAGAGAAGAGAACCCAGTGCCACAAGTGTGCTAGGCAAGCTCTCTACCACTGAGTCACAACCCCAGTCTCAGTTAAGTATATGTTTTTGGTAAAAAATCTTGTAAGAATAAATACATTTAAAGTTGTGCACATTTATATGACATTCTCAGATTCCCTCAAGGATTCCTCTTGTGAGTACAATTACCTTAGATTACTCCCAGAATTATTGATCTGATCTTCAATGTTCTTGTCATCCCATCTCTTTCCTAAAATGCCAAACCAAAACATTATAAATTTTTAGGAGCTAGAAATGCTTTTCCAAATTTATGGAGCATTTTATGCTACAATAATTCACCAATTGATTGTCTTTTCATGTTCTACATAAATGACCAAAATAAACACGACTTCTCTATTTGATTAAATAACTACACAACATTATTACCTATAGAAGCCAGGTTTCTGAAGACTTCCAGCATCACACCTCTGTAAAGGTTCTTCTGGGAAGCATCCAGCAAAGTCCACTCCTCCTGGGTGAAGTTCACGGCCACATCCTCAAAGGTCACTGAGATCTAAAATATCCCACAAATGTGTAGTGGAGGCCAGGAGAGATTGACAGTGTGAGAAATCTATACTCACCATGCATGATGTTCACGATTCCCTGGCCTCCCGATTAATTCCACGATTTTGTCCATGAAATCTTTAGTGTACTTAAGTCCTCACAGCCACTCTAACACTAGAATTGGGCCCCACACACAAGGTAAACAGAGAGTATTGTACACCCTTCCTTTGGTGAACTCACTTTTGGTGAGTTCACAGGAAGTAAGAGGGGCTCTCGGGTCACCCTTAACTTATTTGTTGATTGCATCTCTATCACCATCCTACCAACATCCTGTGCAGTAGAGAGCTAATATTAGCATTCTCCATATTATTTACCCTTAGAAAAGAAAGCTGACTGAGTAGGAAATTGCTGGGACCACAAAACTCAGCATTTGAGAGATCCTGCCAACCACAGTGGCTCACTGGGCCTACACACTTAATATAGACAACATGGTATTTACTGATCTCCTGTTTCCTTCTGAAAGTCAATTGTTCCATCCTTAAAGAAGTGCCTAGAATCAGCCCCAACCCACACCCTCCGAGTATGGAGTCACTAAAGTGTTTCCCTCATAGACAACAGTTAGACAATCTTCCACACAGATTGTCACAATGTGTTCACTGGGGACTGAGCTCAACTTGGATGATTACACTGAGGACAACTAGAAGTTTGCAGGAGCTTTACTCCAGAACAAATTTACCCATTAGTAATCAAGCACATTGATTAATAAACACAACAATATAATAAATTCTAGTGGTTAATGTCAAAGCAGAATGGGGTGTGTGGAAAGATGGCATGTCTTAGGAAAAACTCGATGACCCCCAGATGTCACCTTATTGAGACAACAGCCTTACAAAGTTATATAGGTCTGAAAAACAGTTTTCTTAACAGACAGCAGAAAATCCTTTTCCAAACCTTGTGGCAACCATGAATGTCCAATGATTCTCAAGCTCTTCTGAACAGCAGATGTCTCACTCAGATCATGTACAGTCATGAGACACACACCACCGTTCTGCTCAAGGACACTTTGATCAAGATAGGCCACATGTACAATGGTGGTCTGTCATGAAAGAGATTCCTCATTCCTGTAGCACAGCTGGTGCAAGGAAACCTCAGGCACAAGCACTTCCAGGGTGTGTTAAAGCAGCAGGTTTGCAGCCCAGAATCCTGAATACCCCACGCTGACTGCTTGTGAAACAGGCCACTCCATGTGGGTCTCTAAGCAGGCTATGATTTCTGCACAGTGTGGAACAGCCAAAAACACCACCTACCAGAACAGGACCTTGCCACTCACAAAGAACCATGTTCAAGGACATAAGACACATGGCATTTGAAGCACGACAGTATCAACAGAGGCTAGTAGGAGCCCAAGAGAAAGCCTTTAGTGCGCTGTTCTTCATGGCATGGAAAAATTATGGGTGACAGCAGGTGTCTTGGGGACAGATCACAATGATGGTCCAGGCAAATGAGAATCTACGTGGCAAGTACTTCCTCCCTCTATTCTGCAGACAAATGTGATTTATTGTACATTTAACTGTGAAAGACTAAAACCCATTTCAGAAATTTAAGAGAAATATATTTTTATTTACTTATTTATGTGTGACAAATTGAAAAACAAATAAATAAACAAAAACGCAGTGTGGATCAAATCCAGGGGAGCAGAACCACACAGGCACATCCCTGACACATTTGATATCTTGAGACAGGATCTTGTATGTTGCTCAGGGCCTCCTAAGTTGCAGAGACTATCTTTTAAACTTATGATCCTCCTGCCCCAGCCTCCCCAGCAGCTAGGATTATAGGTACTCACCAGTATGTCTAGGAAAATTTTACTTTTATAGAAAAATAAGGTAAACAATTTTCTAAAAACAATAAGCAGAAAAGAAAAAAAGATCAAAATAGACACCAACATGACACAACTCAGAGTCTGGGGCCCTCACAGTACTACCACAACATAGACCAGAACAGAGCCCAGAAAGAGACTCCCACAAATATAGTCAACGGACCTTGCAAGAAGGAAAATCATTTACATCCCAGGTGATGATGACTCCAGAGAGAGGGAATGTTCCACACACAAGCAGAACCATTAGAACAAGAACATCATCATGTGTGAAAGCCCCAAGAGGTTCTCCACAGCTCCATGAAGCAGTCTTGGAGAGCAGCAAGCAGGGTGTGACCTTCACTCACCCTTCAGAAAGCCCCTCTCTGGTGCAGGACAGGGGTGTGACCTCCCAGTATGAGACCCTAGTCACTGGCTACAGACTGCACACAGCAGATCTTTTCCAAGTTTCTTTAATTTCTATTAAATTTATCACAGAACTAACTATGTTAACATCTTAAAGAAATTTTAAAAAGGTTCTCACTGTTCTAAGTCAGAAGAAATTACTGTGAAAAAATAGGTGGAATTCCTTAAAAAGAGTTAACTAAACCCACAGCCTGCATATAGGAATAGTAGCAAGTTATTGTTTTGGCACTCAACCACCACCTGAAGTCTAGAGAAGAAAGCTGAGGAAGAATTTCTTTTGGAAATCAGGTTTCAAAAATACCCAGGTTCAGGAGGCTCAGGCAGGAGGATTGCAAGTTCAATGCCAGCCTCAGCAACTCAGGGAGCGACTAAGCAATTGAGCAAAACCCTGTCTCAAAATTGAAAACAAAATTTAAATACAGGGGGCTGGGGATTTGGCTCATTGTTTCAAAACACTTGGGTTCACTCCACTGTATTGTGCCCCCAAATAAGAATACCTAGGTATACAGAGGAAGTAAGGAAGCCCACACAGGCCAGGAGAAACCCTTTCAGAGAAGACCAAGAGCTGCATCCATTGCATGCTCAGCACTGCTGTCTCTCCAGGCTGGGGTGGGCAGAGTGCAGGAGCAACAGAGTGTGAAGCAGCACCGGTCTGTGTTAAAGCAGAGGCCCCAGCACAGCTACCTGGAGGAGCCAGAGCACTGAGCTCTTGCTGTTTCCACTGCTCTTTCCTTGCTTCTGGGGAAGCAGCACATGAGGGCAAGACCCAGAGATCTGGCAGCAACACTTTAGTAGTGGCACCAGAGCCCAGGGGAACAACTCCGAAAGCCTGAGCCTGAGCACATCAGGGCCTTTACTTTTAAGCGTAAGAAACTTTTGAGAACACTGAGGTAGGGGAGTTGGTGCCATCTATTTGCTATCCCTTACATGGACACATGCTTGTCCCTGCCGAGGGACTCAGCTCTTAGAGGTCAGGGCCTTTGGCGGCACTCAACCTAAAGAGTTCACCTGGAGTGAGCCTGAGAGTTTTAGTGTGAGAAATGTGACAATTGGTGGCCCATATGGCCACTCCAGAGTGATTTTTATAAATTTAGTGCATTTGGAATTTCTCTTCAGAAGTTAAGCATGCTTCGGATTGCAGAGTATTGTGGGCTGAATTGTAGAAAGTAAGTGAATTAGAAGAAAACTCTGTGAGGTTAAACTTTCAAACATTTGGGAATATTCTGTGTTTATAAAAAATGATTTTATAATTCTAGACTCTAAATAAATGTAAAGTATTATTAAGATGATTAGTGGGATATGTTAAGTTCAGTCCTCTTTCATGGGAAAAGTGCTTTTGTGCACTTTTTGGGATTGTTTTTGTGAATCTTTATATTTTGAAACATTAAGATTTTTTGGGAGGAGTGTTTATGTACTAGAAGTCTGTGCTGGGACAGTGAGAAAAAAGGAAGAAAATTTTTGTGCTGAGAGATGATACAAGGATTCTCTACCTGTAGAGAAGTGAATTTTATATTTTTATTGTTTTGTGAATACTCAGAAGGTTCTGAACCTCTGCTACACTCTTGTCCTATGGATCAGAAAGACTGTAACTGAGCCTAGCCGCTGCTCCCTGTGGTGTCTGTAACTAGAGCCACCACCAACAGTGCTTTGAACCCTTAAGCAACCTGGCCTGGGTGCAGAATGCCTTAAAATCTGATAGTAACACTGGTGTCTGTGGTTAAAACTCACCTTTAAAGGACCCATGTGCTCCCAGGGAAAGTACAAAAGACAGGAGGACACTGTGAAGGGATCATACAGGAAAACGTCCATGAACTGCAAGAGTGCGAACAGCAGTGCAGGTCTCCAGACGAGGCTTCATAGGAACAAACCAAATGCAATGCAACCCACTGGGAAGCTCAGGGAGCCTCTTCCCTGAACTGTGGGCAATGGGCTCCATGCTGTTTCCATCACCATGGTAACCACCCAAAGCCTGGCTGGCCAAGTGGACTTCCTGGTCCCGCTCCCGCATTTCCAAGGCTTCCTATTGGTCCTTCCACTGTCACTCAGACAGGACTTCTGGTCCTGCCTCCCAGCCACTAACCTTCCTTCCTGTTTTACACAGATTTGATCCTGAAACTACAGAGCCTGCACTTTTAAGAATCCCCACTTGTAAATGCTAACAAACTACATCTTTTCCAGGAAAAACCTAATTCCACAGGTTACTGTGTGGCAGCCCAAATTTAAGTTATTTTTGAGTTCCATAACCTGACTTTTCTCTATGGTTGTTACTAAATAATGTTCTATTGATTAGAAATATCAAACATATGCCTCTTTATATTTTGCTTTTAATTTTGGAGGTTATGGGAATGCATTTGCTTGTTGCAGGAACAAAAGCCGGCAATGTTCCTGTGATCAAGAAATCCTTATTCTCATTCCTATGTATTGTCAAAAAGAATAAAATATACATAAGGATCTTATTTCAGCTACATCGTGTGAATCATATATAAGAATGCACTCTTAGTTAAAAATAAATTGAAATGGATCCAAAATATCTTAAGAACCACGTGGTTACATAAAGTTAATACAACTACAAGTTATGCTCTTTGAATAACCTATAGTTGTTGATCCATAAAATAATTAACATATATCAAATTGTTTAATTAATATATATTTATCTAATTGTTTTTCTTCAACAGAAAACACATAATTTATATATTTCTTATACATGCATTTACCTGATGCTCTGCCTTTTAGTTACAGATATTTGAGATGAATGTATTTTACTATAAATTTACTTTCAAAACGTAATCAAGTAATCTCAAATTACTGCACAAACTTTTAGAATAAACAGATATGACTTTGTCTATAAGAATATCCAAGGGCTTTAACTGTATTTTCATTCAGACATTTCTTATGAAAGTATAATAATCTGCTTAGACTCTACGGTTTTCAGAAATTGTTCCAAAGTGTAACTAGGAAAAACTCTAATAAAAGAAAAAGATGCTTCAACAGAGAGAAAGCACACATAGGAGGTCCTAAGAAGAAGAAAGGGATCATCTTTGGGTGAAACAGGTCTTTATATTCTAGATTTTAATGATAAAAGTAGTTGTTTAAATAGAAAGATCTTTACATCATTATCTAGACAGATGACATAGAAAGTTAAAACAATTGAGAAGAACATTTATATGTACTGGATTGACCATAAAAATTTAACTGATTAATTCAAGGATACTTCAGGGTATTTCCCTAATTTTACTATGCTGATATAAGCTAAAATATTTGCCCATATTTTGACAAGATAAAGACCTATTAAAATGTTAAGTTTATTTTTGTTAAAGAAGGTCTTTATTGCCTAATGATTTTTCACTGTTTCAGGTAAGGATTAATTTTGGTGAATAAATTCACATCCTTGACTAAACACTAAATATATTAAACTGCTGACTTAGATTCCAATTTTGACAATTCTCCTTGGAGGACTAAAATTGACTGA